TTTTCTTTTTAAAAAGAGATGTATTTTTAGCAAGTAAACAAAACAGTGAAGAAATACTTTGCAGTTGTATTTAGTGTAAATAACCCCTTACATGCTTTCCTACAATAAAATTGCAAACCTCGTGCTATTGTTTCTTTTTTTATAATAAAAGTGAACATGGATGCCTGCATGGTTCTTGGCTAATAAGATCACTGCATGTTTTTTGTGATTTAAGTTTTTTAGCACTGGTGAGTTGTGGCCCAGAGGCTCATAACCATAAAACTTTGCTGCTGCTTGAATCCTTGAATTAAATTTACTTTCTTAGTGCTTCTGCTCTTACAAACTGTTTTTTGGTGTTTCACCTTTAGGGCACTGCTTTGAAAATTGCCTGCCCATCTGACAGCTGAGTTGTTATTGTCTGACTTGTCTTTGGCATCCTCAGTTCAGTTCCCAGCAGACAGGGTTGATGTATCTCTCATTAGGAGGCTGTGTCTGGGCAGATATTTGACAAGCTGAGTGAGCTCATTACAGGCTTTTTGCTTTTTCTTCCCCTCATTTTTGCACTTCACCAGCATTTTGTGCAGTTTGTCATCTCAGTAGTGTTTCTAATTTAGATGGTGTCTCCATAGGCTCCAGACCACAATGGATGCTGTGGTGGGCACAGCAGATACTTTCAGTATCAAAATTTTGGCATCTTTTTCTCTTTTGCTAAGTACTGGATCAGATTTCTACTATTTTGTTCCCCTCGTGCTGTCCTTGACCCCCTTCCATATAACATAGCAGGCAAAGAGTGAGTGCCTTCTGTACTGCTGCCGAGAATCAGATACTGCAGGGCTGTGGAAAAGTTCTTCCATCTGTAATTTCAAGATGCCTAAAACAAGCTGAAAATGTAAGGCTGCTATGAACATTTCTAATCTGCTAATGAGAGCATTCTGCAGTTGGCTTCTCTGTAGATTTTTCTCTGATTTCTGGTTTGGATCATGGAAGAAATGACAGCTTTTCCTTTCCTCCTTCAGTTTCACCTGTGTAAGCAGATGACTAATTCATCATCCAATATAAACCTTCCCTCTTTCAGGTTAAAGCCCTCCCGCCTTGTCCTATCACTTCATGCCCTTTTCAAAGTCCCCCTCCAGCTCTCTTGTAGCCCCTTCAGGTACTGGAAGGAGCTCTCAGGTTTCCCCAGAGCCGTCTCTTCTCGAGACTGAACACCCCCAACTCTCTCAGCCTCTCCGCAGCAGAGGTGCTCCAGCCCTTTCAGCATTTTCATGTTCTCCTCTGGACTTACTCCACATGTTGACATCCTTATGTTGGGGGCCCCAGAGCTGGATGCAGCATTACAGGTGGGGTCTCACCAGGGTGAGCAGAGGGGGAGAACCCCTGCACTTGGCCTGCTGCCCACATGCAGCCCAGAAAGACAGAGGAGTCCTTTGAGCTGCCAGAGCATGTTGTTGAGTCATGTTGAGCTGCTCACCCACCAACACCCCTGAGGTGTTGCCCCTCAGAGCTGCTCTCAATCCATTCTCCACACAGCTTGCACATGTGTGTCACTGCCCATTTCACACCATGGTCCAAAATATGGGGAATTGGGAAAGAAATTTGTATAAAAAGCGAGGGTTGTTATAGTTGTTGAAATCCAGATGTTGACCTTTTGTCCCCATCCCCACATTTGAGACATTAAGGTTTTTCTGCTCTCAAAAATACCAGAGCTTATGCTCTTTGTGTTGTCTCAGAGGCATTCATGCCATTCAGCCGTTGTCCTTTAATTCTGGATAATTGTTGGGCTTCTGCACTGCAATAGCCTATAAGATGATTGATCTCAAAATGAAAAGAAAAACAAAGGGCTCTAGTCACACACAAAGATCATTTGCATCTTTCATCTCCTTTGAAGGGGGAACAGAGGACTTCAGATGACAGTCACCCAAGTATGAAGAGTTTCTGTTCTCTCAGCTGCTTCCAAGTGTAGGAACAGTGTGCTAGTACAGCTGCAGCCACAGAGAGACTGAGCAATCTACAAAGGAATGGCAATTTGCTAAGAACCAACAATGTTCAATCATCCCTCACCTCTGCATTGTACCTGCGAGTTAGACAGAAGCAAGAGGGAAAAGAATCCGGCAGAGCAAGGAGAATGCTGACCTCATGTGAAAGAGGGGTAGCTTAGCAGTTTGAAAATGTGTTATCCTATTTAACTTTCTGGATTTAATTTAAATAAGGCATTTGTATATGTGGGAAACACAGCTTTGAATGCTTTCAGTGGGATATTCATATCCAGATTGCTGAAGTCCAGTGAAATTCATTACACAAATTTGGAAGTAAATAATTCAATTACTGAGTCAAGAGCTCATAAAACAATGCATGAATGTATAGAGAGCAAAGCTGAAGCTTATGAGACATTAAGTCAGACCTGGTGTAGCTTTCACCTATCTTATTTTAAAAAGGACCAAAAAAAAGTAAATGGGCAGGGACACTGCCAAAAGTACAAAGCAAGTTCCTGGGAAGATGAATGAAGAGGGTATGCATTTAAATCACACTGCATGACATCAGTGAATCATTTAGGTTGGAAAAAACCTCTTAAGACCATGGAGTCCAACCATAAACCCAGCGCTACCACACCCACACTAAGCCATGGCCCCAGGTGCTACATCCACATGCCTTTTGAACACTGCCAGGGATGATGACTCCACCACTTCCCTGGGTAGCCTGTTCCAAAGCCTGGCAACGCTTTTGGAAAAGGATTTTTTTTCCTAATATCCAATTTAAACTTCCTCTGGTGCAACCTAAAGCTGTTTCTTGTCCTGTTACTTGTTACTGACACCCCACTGGCAACAATCTCCTTTCAGGCAGTTGTAGAGAGTGATAAGGTCCCTCCTGAGCCTTCTTTTCTCCAGGCTGAACACCCCCAACTCCCTCAGGCTGCTCCTCATCAGACTTGCATCTCTGCCATGCTCTACTGGTCATCATCTTGGGTTCAAGCTCGCAGAGATAGATTCCTCTGGAATCCTGTCTTGCTTGCCTAAGTTAAAATCACTTTTAAAATCTTATTTCACTGGCATCTTCCATTTTATTCTTAGTAACAGGCACTGGGAATGCAGAAAAGGCTGTCTTTTTACTTTACAGTTTGCTGATGCAGTATCAGTGGGACTTCAAAATAAAAAGTTTTAAGGCTTGTGGATGTCAGGCTTTGCACAAATGTTACCCAATGTCCCTTAAAATGCTGGTCGTGTTGCATTTGGTGTCTGTGAGCCTTTTATGGCCTGTTTCTCTGGGCTGCCAGCTCACACATGCTGCTTCACAAAGATAAAGGCTGGGGACTGACCCACTCGGCGGCAGAGCAGCTGGGGTGGAATCTTCCTGGCTCCCAGCCCAGCCGCAGCTCGGCTTTAATTTCAGCGTCAGGGTGGGAGTTCACTGCCTACTGGGAGATTGTTTTCCTGGTGGGAGGCAGAGCAGTGGTGTATGTGAGAAATCCTGCCCTATAAAAGTGCATTCCCATGATTTGGGCTATGAGCCCACAATTTTAACAAATTATTTATGGCTCTAGCTGAAAGCAGCAATTTCACAAAGATACCAGTTTGAGCTCTGCTGGAATTTTTTGATGAATCAATCCCAGCTGCTTCCACCATCTAGCAAAGCAATATCAGGCACCAAGAAGGAAATTGGGCTTTCAGTGACTGGAGCAGCCCAAGTGGAACAGATGCTATTGTGGGAACTGACAGTGCTGACTCAGGAAGCTGTGACGAGAGCAGCAAGAGAAGACATGGATGGAAAAATTTGCAGCAGATAACCTCCTTGTTGACACCAACATTTTGTACTGGTGGTGGTGAAACTTCACAGTTTACCTTTAAAAAAACAAATCCATTTCTTTGCACACTGCAGCTCCCTGTTTTGGAAGTGGAATCTTCTGCATCCTACCAGTTGCCAAATGAAGGGAAAAATTAAGAGGCTGCAGCACAAAGCTGGGTAGGGTACACCTCAGTCACCTGGCAATGCAAAACGGGCTCTGCTCCCTGCATGCCTTTTGGGAGGACAGATCGTGTGGCAGCAGCAGTGTGAGGAGCCCACAGTATTTGTCTCAAATACAGGACCTGAGCTACGCAGCTTTGGTGAATGTGGCATCACCATTAATGTGCCACATTAACATGAAAATATGTTACCAAAAATAAAGTAAAAAACAGACCTGGAGGAGAAAGATAAGGGGTTTGCTCAACTTCTCCTAACGTGTAATGCACATGGCTCCATTTTTTTAAGTACTGCAGTGTCCTCTCAGCCAAAGCATTACAAAGCCTTTTCCTATTTGAGACTGCCTTAAGGCCCAGAAGCTCATAAAATAACACAAATACATGACCATGATCAAGAGAGTCAAACCACCTTCACTATCAGATAACAGTGCAAAAAGTCTCCGTGCTCTGTGGGCTGGTAGGAACTCGTTCTGCTGGCATTCCCTTGGGGTGACCACAGTCTTCTGGGTCAGTAGTTCACCTTCTCCTTCACACCAGACAAGTTGTGCAGAAAAATGTCACAGCAGCTACTCTGAGCATTATACCAGCTGCTGTGTCAGACAACACAGATGCAGCTGGAAAGGCAGTTCCTGCTGGGTTATATAAGATTTTGCCTCAAGTGTAGCTACACTAAGAGAAAACATTGCTGTCATTAGGAGATTGCAAGACAAAACTTTCAAGTACTCACTCTTGTTTTGCTTTTACATCACTTTGTATTTTATCAGAGAAAAGATTTTAAATTATTCCTAGAGCAAATAGCAGAAAAAGAACATAGTATTTTGTGCATCTTGGGAAAGTTACTGTGCTCTCCTATCAATCTAAGCCTCTCTACTACTACTTGGATAGCTCCAAGTGCCTCAGGGCTTTTACAGCTTCATCTTGGTACTTTCATTAATACACACAAATTAATATGCACAGAATAAGAAATGGTGGGCCTGGTGGGAAAAAAAATCTACAGTAGGTAACTTGTAACTGGCAATATTGATAAAGGCCCACCAAGAACAGCAACCAAGAAAACTTTAAATGTTTAGTGTAATAGTGTAAAGTTTAAATCTTTAATGTAATAATGTTTGTTGGCACAACATTTAAATCATCAGATAGTGATGACCAGTAACAAGTCTCACATATATCCCCAGCTTGCCAGCAGTGCCTTGCAAGCAGCAATTCCGACTGATTTCCTAAAGATCAATGTTTTATGCTGCAAATTCTAGTTATGTAACACACCTTTCTGATTATTTTAAGTGTGTAGGGACTTCTGAATAGATAATGTATTAGACAACTCAATCCTCACAACCGGAAATTAATAAGAAAATTCTTTAAGGCACAGGTTTTATGCTTATACATTTTCCCCCTTTTTCATAAGGGCTCAATGAAAAATATAAAAGTGCTCTATTATGTGATGTTCATAAATTGGCAAATACCTTGACTGAAGTCACCTGCAGGAGGTAAAGTTGTATGTTCTGGGTTTGCTTTTAATTTATTTTATTTTTAACTTATTTATCCAGTGGTGGTAAAGTGCTTCTTTACCATCAATTCATATCCATTTGATTGTGCTCATTAGCTATTTTATGGCTGCGTTCCAGTAGCCATTAATGTAATTTGAGCAAGTAATGTAATAAAAGTATTCAAAACATAATTTCCTAATTTAGTCAACAGGTGAAAAGTTAAGTAACAAGACTATGGACAGCCTTCAGAGGAAAATTAGGTCAATCTCAACAATACAGGGAAATGATTCTGTAATTAAACAATTTAATTACATTAACAGCCCCGCCTTTTATGAGCCTTAGATTTGTTTAAATCCTGAACTAATAAACTGTCTTTGCATTTTAGATTGTGAGTGCACAAATGGCTTGGCACGTGAGTTCACACTCGGCTGAGTGCAGTTTGATTCAGCAGAGGTGTGTCCGTGATCTGGCTGCGGGGCGGGAGCTGCGCTTCAGCAGGTGGAATGGAAGACCCCGCCCACTTTGACACCCCGAGCAGCCAGGGCATTGTACTCTGCCACGGCCTTCTCCGTCTGCAGCACCAGCACGTCAATCCCGTTCTTCTTCAGATACTCCACAGTGGATGCTGGAACCTCGGAAGAGAAAAGGAAATCGCAGAAGCAAGAATCAGATTATTTTCCCCTTAAACTGTAAGACTTGTAGAAAACTAGACACTGATGCCATTTGTTAAACATGACTTCAGTTAAATGCCAGTAGCCAAAATGACAATGCTCAGATAGCTCTAAGATTGATTTAATTTTTTTCTCTGCAATAAACTACTTCTATACACACACCTCCCCAACCTCCTTAGCACACTTTAAAATGCAGTCCTCTCTTACAGAAATAAATAGAATTGGAACTAAAGGAATTTAAAGAAGGTGTTATTCATCCCACCAGAAAGCAAAATACTTGCTTCTCACCAAGTAAGCTCAGCACTTCTGATCTGAGCTTTCTGTAGCTAGTTTATCTGCTGAAATGACACCCTGGCAACAATTGTGTCAAGAATACCTAATTACCAAAGTATTTTCAGCAGGCTAAAGAGCCAGTTATAACCTATTGCAAGAGGAGGGGACTAAAGACAATCTGAAAAAATCTTGTTTCATTTGCTCCTATAGCAGAACATAAACCTGTTTACTGCTTGACATGGACACTAATACAGAGGAGCTCAAATGACGTTTCTTTCAGGACCTGAGGGACCCCTGACAGGTGCTCATTCACACTGATCCTCATTTTTTTTCCCTCTCAGTGAAGCATCATCGATTTAATTTTTTTCCTCCTAATCAGAGGGAGAGGGAAAACAAACAGTTCTCTTTATGCTTGTCACAGAACAAAAACCTACCTGCAAAGCCTCACTCATGCCACGACCAATCACTACAGTTTTAACACCCTTCTGGACGACTTCTTCAAGGTCAGCTGGCTGCACTCCGGGAGAATGCTAAGTGTCAGGGAAGGAAAACAATAGTCTGTGTTCTGACAGCATCAGCCAGGAAAGCTGTGTCTGTGTGTCCTGAACACAGAGCAGCAGGGTAAATTAGCAGGTCCAGAATGTAACACAACTCTCTTCTGTACATACACACAGTAGAAAACATTTGAAACTGAAAAAGGTATTTAATATGCAAGAGAAGGATGATAATTAATTGACGGATGGCAAGATTATACTTCCTTATTAAACAGCCAAAACAAAAAAGATGCATTATAAATTTAAAACATTTATGTCTAACTTCTGGAATTTTATAAATATTAACAGCGTGAAATCAATAAATTGCAACAATACTGCTGTATGATTTCAAAATAACAAAATCTACTTGAAAGAAAGATGATTGCAAGCCAAAGTTTACTCACTTTAAATACAAAGAACTCATCAGATAATTAAAATTATTAAATAATTTTATTGTTTACTTTGAAAATCTCACCAAAGATGACAGAAATTTATTGGGTAGTGTAATTTCAGTTAACAGCTTGGATTTATGCACTATTCTTTATTTTGAGAAAAGAATATTTGAATCCAAATGCCTCAGAGAAAGAAGGAACTTGCACAGCACATTAACAGATGTTTTACAAAGTACACCCACTTACTGCTATTATGCTTTAACCATATAAATGCATAAACACATCTATAATGTTAATATAAAACATTATTATGTTACCCTAATTCTCCTCCTGGATTCAGTTTCTATGTATCTCCATGTGGTCAAGAGTAAGATACTGGACATCCTATGGCTATAATTTGGTCCCTCTTTGGTGTGTATTTTTATTTTTAGAACATAAATATTATTTTTCTTCCCTCCCAGTTTTTTTTTTTTTTTAATAGAATTCTGAAGTTCTGAAGTTTCCAAGAGGTCTGAGTTTCTCACTTGAAGTAGGTAATACCATGGTGGACTCATGGAGAATGGAACAAGAAAGACTTTCCAAGCTGAAACAAACACATGAGCTCCTAAAATTGCAGGTATAAAAAGCCTTCCATGGTAGAGTGCCACTTGCAATGAGTGAATTAAACTTATTCCACAAGAAAGTCTTTAGGATGGCTGATGTCTGAAATTTCAGTAACAGAGATGATTCACCTTTATGGTTCTTCAAGTTCACAAAATCATAGAACACCTCAAGTTGGAAGGGACCCATGAGAATAATTCACAAGACTATCTTAAGCTAAACCACAACTTAAGAGCATCATCCAGATGCTTCTGGAACTCTGACAAGCTTGCTCTGTGACCACTTCCCTGGAGAGCCTGTTCCAGAGCCGGAGCACCCTCTGGGTGGAAAGCCTTTTCCTAGCACCCCATCTGAATGTCTCCTTGCAGCTTGACTGCATTTCCATGGGTCCTACTGCTGGACATCAGAGAGATCAGCGTTCTCCCTGCGCTACCCCACCTCTGGAAAGTGTAGACTGTGATGAGATCACCTCTCAGACTCGTCTTTTCCAAGATGAACAAGCCAAATCACTTCAGCTGCTCCTCAAAAGCCTTGTCCTCAAGGCCTTTCAGCATCTGCACCTCCCTCCTGGGAACACAGTCTGATGTCCTCCTTATGCTGAGGTGCCCAAAACTGCACACACAGCTCGAGGTGGGGCTGCTCCAGTGCAGAGCAGAGTGGGACGAGCACCTCCCTCGGCTGTGCTGTGCCTGACACACTCCAGGACATGTCTGGCCCTTTGGGCTGCCAGGTCCAAAGGCTGTGCTCCCCTTAGTCCATTTGCATTCCATATCCACACCTGGAATGCAGAACTCACTTGAATAGGCAGAGCTTTCTCAGACCTAATCACTCTAAGTACTTGTTTATGACGGAATAGGCAATGCTTTTCCTTTGGGGTTTTTTAAGGAGACTGAGAACTTAGACAAGAAGAATTGGTATGTTTTACTGCAATTACAATAATTAGAATTCTGAGGAAGGTTTGCTGTCACGTGAGAAGCACTCCTGAAACATTAAAGCCACGGAACAAAAGGATTTTCTTTGGTTTCACAGGACACTTTGATGCTAGTCAGAAACTAGTGTTACTAAAGGAAATATGTAACATGATGAAGTAACTGTATCATTGTTGATTTGACAGCAGATTTTCTTGCCTGTACTGTTCTCTGGCCTTCATTTCAGCAATACCTATGTCTTTTCTTCTGCCATTAGCAGATGGCACTGAAACGCAGCCAGCCAGGGAGAGAGGGTGCCATTCATCCCCAAGGGTTAAGGCCACAATAACTGTTAGTGCTCAGTTACAGAACCTTGCAGGGCCAGTAATACAATTTTCCTGATGAAAGAATGCTTTACTAGACAACAGTGTGACAGCAGAGGAGGAAAGGAAGCAATTTATTCCCAACTAGAGTGTAGGACATGACCAGCACTGCTTGTTTTCCACACTTCAGTTCCAGCTATCTCCAGGAAAAACATGCTTAAGGAAAGGAAGCAAATTGTTGTCCATCTTTAAAAAACTGGGCAGAAAATGCAGCTGTCGAATCCTACTGTTTCCAGTGCTGACAGAACTAAATTTTTGACAGTTCTCAACATTGGAGATGCAGTCTAGAAAAAGCTTAGTTCTATTCTTAATATTTGTTGTTTGTTATTTATTTTAAAAGAAAATCACCTAACTCCTCAGCTGCAAGGATAGAACTGACCTAAAGCAGGAACTTTATAAGCAATTTACATAAGCCCTTACTTTAGATACTTTTTTTATTTTTTACTTCCTGAAAAAATAAAAAGGATACCAGAAATTCTACTTCTCCAGAGAGCCCAACTATTCTTTTTCTCCTCTAATTTTAATTTAACATTGACTTGTTTTTCAAGTCCTCTAAAGACTTATGGATTTAAATGTTTTACTTGTGACAAGAAGATACTCCTTGTTAGAAACTTTCAAAAGGAAGCACAGCCTCCTAAATGTTAGTAAGTGCCTGTAATTTGAAACCAAAGTTTTTCAGTGGTTGGAATAAATATAAAAACGTGATTGGGCTGGGAACTAGTTGGGAACTTTTCAGCTATCGTTACCTGTTCTGCTTCTCCAGCTATGTGCATATAAAGCACAAAAATTATATTGTCAAACAAGCGGACAGCAACTCTCACCACAAAACCCAACCCTTTCAACAGCCAGTGAAAACTTATTTTTTTATAACCAGGCCATAAATGAAATACATTTTTAAAGGTTATGTACACAGCTACCTTTTTCTCTGCAAGGTGCAGATATCTTTGCATGACAGCAGCACCGTTCTCTTGGTGTTATATATTCTGCATAAATTGAACTCTGATAGGTTAAAAAATTTCTATTCTCCCAAAGATTACAGATGAAGTTGGAAACCCAAATGCTCTGACTTTCAATTGTGTCAAAACGAATCCAAGAGAGCTGCATCCTCTGCATGGATATAGCTGCATGTGCTGGCCTGGTCACTACATTGTTATTTTGTGCTTTAACTTTTGCTTTTATAGTGTGGAACTTCTCTTTGTTAGCTAATTATCGACCCCAGTGCAAGTCCTAATCTGGGAGAATTATCAACATCAAGTTCCTATAGCAATATATGCTATACTGTTTCTAGATCTGAAATATCAATACTACTACATGTACTTTCATCCAATTCGGATTGCATTTACAGATAAACTTCAAAAATTACAAAGGCAAGCACTTAGTATATGGCTACCAAGAGAAGTCACTGTGTGATTAGCCAGACCATGAGCTTTTCACAGAGAAAATAGTGCATGAAACACTGTACCTGCATATTTTTCCTCTGAAATATGTACAAGGGACCCCAAGGAAAAGGATAAAAACTAAACAACGTGCAATGTTGTCTTCCAAACATGCACACTTAGTTACTGTCTATTTTTTTTTTTTTTTTTTACTTTTCATAATTTCCTATCTCACTCAAGATAACTTTTGTTTAGACAGTCTGGGGCAACTTTTGACAATTGCACTCTTAAGCAGATGAGGAATATTGTTTGAGAGCTCTAAGGTATGTGAAAGTTGTCTGGTGAGGGTGGCTGTCAGAACTCAGGGCAACCGTTGCTGTGTCCTGGTGCATGTAGGATGTAGTGGGACTGCAGCCGTCTGACCCCTCCACAAAGTTACCTCCAAAACACACACTCCGTTCTTCCCAGGAAAATCTAACAGCTAGATGAAAGAAAAAGGCAGCCCACTAAATTTCTGGCTGGAACTTTAACACTGTTCTCTGGACCATGCTCAGAATCCTGTTTTATATGCAGTGTAGTAAACACTAAACTTACGTTGGTCCCGGTTTCTCGCCAATCCCACGTCCGGCTTCCTCCCGGCCATACTTTGCAGTCCTTGTATGTTGCAGAGCAGCCTTTCACCTTCATCTGACCCCAAGAAAGGGAAGCAATTTCAGGGGAAGACATCACAAAGCTGAACCAGAGTCTGGAAAAAGAATATTTAATACTTAACATCAGGCCAACATATGCAGCACATTAATAAAAATGGAAAATTCTGTCCTCACCCCAAGAAGCTAGGAAGGAAATGCTGTTACAGACTTTATCCACGTGGTTTTGTGACAACAGACTTGAACTGAGGATCAGCAGATTTGTTGAATTACCAGTCCTCTTGGGGATTTTGTGCACAATTTTGGGCAAATCATTTTACGTGCTAAATCTGTTCAAGTATTGGATGTTCAACTTTTAAAACTATGAACAGGGGTCAGGTCCCAGAATATCCTCTCACATCTGGGTTTTAATCTTCTCCCTAAAATGAACAATGAGGATGATAATAATTTCCTAAAATATCAGAAATCTGCACTATTTCATTGGCCACTTTCTTCTTTCACCATTACAGTGGTAAATGAAATTAAAAGGAAATGCCAAACAAACCCAATAGTAAAGCCATGAACCAGTGTCACTGTCACACTGCTACAGAAAACAAGACTTTCAGGGATGTAAAGGGGTTGAACCTTCCCCCAGACACTGCTGACAGAGACCAAGTCTCCCAGGATTACACATCCATATAAGAACTTGTCTAATTGTTTGACCTCCATCTTCATTGTTTCAACTTAAATCCATTAGTTTGAATCCTTTCTGTTGGGGACAAGTAGAACAGCTTAATCTTTGTCTTTTTCACCTTTTTTCTTTCTGTTTTCTTGAGGATTTCACTCAGTATTTTTCTTTTATGTCATTTGGATTAAATAACCGTCCCTTCAGTCATGTTTTCTAAGTCTCTACTTATTTTGTCCCTTTTTCCTTTAGCAGCCAACCACTGGTACACATCTTCCTTTGATGTCTGTTGCCTAGAATTTGACAGAGCCTTATCAGTGCCTCTGTAGCTCCACTGCTTTTTGGTGAGTGCCACAGTGATGTTGGGATCTGCTGCCACAATCTCTGCTGGGCACCAGCAGGGCAGGAACTCTGCCTCACAAGGAAAGCCTTGTGTCAGCTTCCTGCAGAAGCTTTCCCCTCCTCACAGTTCCTCAGGTATTGCAGTCTGATTGCTGCAGTGATTCTGGCAGTGAATGGAAAGAGAGGAATCACAGGGTGGTGACACCCTGGGAACGCTTTGGACTAGCATGGCAGTCCACTGACACAGCGGCAGGACAGAGACACCTTTCCGCCCTACCAATTCACATGGTCTGAAATCCACTTTTTGAAGAAAACTTGATGTTTCTCCAGTAAAAAGAGGTCCACCTCTGCCTAATCCAGAATATCTCTGTGGCAGACCCTTCCATATACACAGATTCTCATCCTTTATTTTTCAATTGTTTACATTTGCCAGGAATTGAATAGTTTAAATTCATTATATGAATGCTGGCAGCATAGATTAAAGGCACTGCCCATGCAAGAGATAAATCTTTGGATGACCATGCTTCCAGTCCTCCTGGAAGCCTCCCTTCCTGTCTTGCACGTGCTACAAAAGATGCAGCACTGCCAGACAGGATGTGCTCTCCTTGGATTGACTGCCAGAAGCGGATCTCAGTATCCCACCTAAAACACTACATGAAGGATAAAATGCATTACTTTGGATTCAGCACAGGACTGAGTTTGCCAGAGTTGCTTCTCACACAGGACAGCGGGGCAATCCTTTTTCTTCTCACTCCTGTGTGACGTTAGTGGCACATGTGTCCTGTCAAGCAGCTAGAGGGGACTAAAACTTGCTTGGACTAATACAGTCTAGATTCTCTCATTGCACATCCACGATGCAATGGTTTCAAACAAAGATTTGTAAGATTATTTTTCCAAAGGTCTGCCTGGAGGGATATTCTAGCTGAAGAAACAACCAGCAGTAGTCTCAACAGAATGAAATTAAAGGCTGAATAAAGCACCCAGAACCTGGCCTCTGAAGAACGAAAATAATTTTTGCCCATGCTACTTTTCAGATGAAATGGTAGAATTAGACCTGGAGGCTAGACAGAGGTGAATGAACAGTAAGATGATCAGGAATATCACCTTCCCCAATCCAAACAGTATCACAAGGTTGGAACTGTGCAATCAAACAGGTACAAACTGCAAATGGGAGAGCAAAGATTTCATGCTATGTTTTCCAAACAGCATAAAAATAAGTAAATAGCAGAAATGAAGAAACAAACTTACAAGGCACAAATAAAAATTTATCCTCTAATACCTTTTCCCATAATACTGCTAGAGATTATCAGTAAGGTCAGGTCACTTGAATAAATAAGAGTATCTTTGAGTAAGAATGAACTCATTGATAGAAACTTTGGGCATTGTTTAATGAAGAGCACGGTCCAAACACTGAGGAGCAGGAAAACAGTTGTCAAACAAATTATTTTTTAAATTATTCACCATGAAAAATGTAAAGTATCAAAATATACCTTAACACTTAATATCAGAAGAGACCTTGAATTAAATGACTTGCAAGTACAACCTAAAACTGCAATTTCTGCAAACTGCTGCAGTTCAAACACAAAGAGATGAGGAGCAGAAATGGCTCAGGACTCTACAAGTGAAGTCATGAGAGTTTAAGAACATCAGAAATAAAGGAAGTAGAACTTAAAAGGAGGCAAAATGCATATTTATGCCAGGAGACTATACTGAAATGAAGCGCTGGATAAGGATGGCAGAAGACAAAAGCAGCTGAGAAGGAAGCGGAAGAAAGCTGAGATTTAATTGCATTTGGGCAAGCTGGTGGACTTTGATTGCCAGCACACCTTTCTTCTATGGAGGTAACCAGCGACAAATGGAATAAAAGAGGTGAACGAGAGCAGTGCACCAGATAATTTTATTGAGATGCTGCAGAAGGAAAAGATGTTTTTAAAATCCAAGGGGCAAGCTGAGACTGAAGAGTGAATCACGGGAAGAGTACATCGGTGTACGTGAAGTTATGGGCAGAACAAATTGCTGTAAGGTGTCAGAAGACAACGTGGTTCTCCAGCGCTGCCGGGGAGCAGGGTCAGGGCGCGGGCGGATTCCCATTATTCCAGGGGATACAGCAGCCAGAGGAAGGTCAGGGTTAAAAACTGACAGCAGCAAGGCAAATAGAAAGGACGGGAGAAGCTCAGACCAACTGTTTAGGGAGGGAGAAGGTGTCAAGTTCACGCAGGAGGAAAACACACTTTGGGAATTCGGCAATTCCTTTTCGCTGGGGACCCTTGTGACGGCAGTCAACCGGAGAGGTCACGGGAATCTGGCAGTGAAAAAAGAGGGGGAACAGCACGCTGTGAATACAGCGGAGAGAGGCAAGGAGATAAGGACAGAGAACGCTGAGAAGCCCGGCGGGAGGGGTGGAGGGAGGAATGTGGGAAGGGAAGGAGCAGTCCAGGACGCCCCAAAGCACGGCCTGGCGTGCCGGGGCACAAGGACAGGGACACAAGGAACAAGGGCCATGACCACACCGGCGCCGCGCGCTCCCCTCACGCGCAGCTCCCCTCACGCCGCGGGTCCGTCACACGCCCGCACTCACCGCCCCGCGCGCGCGACCCCACCGCCCCGCCGGCTCCGCCTCCGCCCGGCCCCGCGGGGATGGGGCGGGGCCTACGCGCTTCCAACGCCCTCATTGGGCAGCGCTCCCTGCCGGCCCCGCCCTTCGCCCGTTCCGATTGGTCGGTCAGTGGGCCTATCCCCGCCCCCGCCCCGCCTTGTTTTCATTCCCCCTCGCCGCGCGCGGCGGAGGGGAGTCGGCTCGCGCCGCTCTGGCCGCCGCCCCCTGCCCTCCCCTGCCTTCATCGTGCCCCCGGTGCATTGTGGGATAGTGGCGGCCCGGCCCGGCAGCGCCCCCTCCTCCCTCCCCCTCCCCAGCTCCTTCTCCATCCTCAGGTCCAAGATGGCGGCGGCGGCGGCTCCTCCGGCCCCATCCCCGCCGCCCCCTGCCCCGGCGGGCCCGCGCTGCCCGGGCTCCTGGCCCAACTTCGCCGTTGTCTGCTCCTTCCTCGAGCGCTACGGGGCCCTGCTGGACCTGCCCGAGCTGCCCTTCCCCGAGCTGGAGCGCGTCCTGCAGCCGCCGCAGGAGCCCGGAGACCAGGGTAAGCGGCTGCGATGCCTCTCCCTCCCGCCGCTGCGGGGCGGCCGGCCGAGGGGGCCCGGGGGGCGGAGGGGGGGCCGGGGCTGTCCCCCCCCCCGCCTCCTCCCGGCCCCGGGGGTGGAGCGCACCGAGGGAGAGGAGGGGCCTGGGATTCCCGGGGGGAGGGGAGCCCTCGCTCCCTGTTTTTTTGAGGGGGGAGCAGCTATTTGTGTGTGTATATTGGGGGGAAGGTTACCTGCCCCCGCGGCGGGCATGGGAAGGAGGTGGGGGACTTCTCCTTCACCTCTCCTCCTCCTCAGTGCCGCCTGTGACCCCCCCCCCCCGTCCCTCCCTCTCCCCCCCTTTCCCTGGGTTCGTTCCCGAGCTCTTTGCGGGTGGGACTCCTTGCAGAAAACAGGCATAAGACGAAATAACTATTTTCGTTCACCTTGGTGCTGGTACTCCGTCTCTCTTCTACCTCCTCCCTTCCCCCCACCTTGGGGGGCGCTTCACAGCCTCTTCCCCCCTCCCCCCACTATCTCTGCCCGTTTTTACTTCTCTCCCGAAACAAGAAGGGCACACACACATACACAAACACACGGGAATGTCCCGATCCCCAGTGATCCCCCTTCACCTCGCTCTACCTGGGATGAGGAATGGGGGTCACGGAGAAGCCCTGAGCCCCCCCACGGCCGCTGTTGCGGGCCGTCTCCTCCCCACCAACACAGCCAGCCATTGTGTGCCACCTTCATCCCTCTTCTCTCCCCCCTCCTCCTCCCCCGTCCCCTCTTCCAGTTGCGGGGGGGACAAGCTGTGTGCTCGCTGCTGCTCCCCCGCCGCCACCTGAGACGTGCGAGCTGGAGGGATAGGTTATGCACTCCGCTGTTTGCTTTCCAGCCGCTCTGCTCTGCTCTCCTCCCTCTCCAGTAGCAGGTTTGGTTGCCAGACTCCCTAATCCCAGTTGCCCGCGATGGATGCGGGAGGGCCCGGGCCGAGAGAGCAGCCTGGGGAAGGAGGGCTGAGTGGAGGCGGCTGCAGGAATACAGAGGGGAGGGAGCTTGTTGCTCTTGATCTCTTGTCTCTGTTATTCGTTTGGTTGTTGCCTCTGCACTCTTGCCACATAGGGAGCCCGTGCTGCTCACGGCGCATGCTCGGCAAGGCCCCTCGGAAACTTCCTGCTGCTGGAGAAGCCCGGCTCGGGCTGCTTGTGGTCCCGCAGCCCCTGCTTTTCCCCCAAAACAACCTCGCTCTCGCCTCCTTCCCCACCAAACCCACCCTGTCTGGAACGGGGAATGGGGGGTTATGTGATTCAATCGGCGTGTGGGTGTTTCCTCGTATAAAGGAAGTTGTATTTTGCTAAGTGCAGGTGTCCTGTCTGTGAATTTGCATCAGCCACTGCTGAAACAGAATTAAACATGATTAATGTGTTTTCTCCTGGTGTTGTTGGTCAATATGAAAGAGACAGCTGAAATCTACAAAATTCTTAAAACAGGGTTCATTTTGTGGAAAACTTATATTTAGATTCAATTCTCCACCACTCCTGTATCTCTGTGTTATAGAGATGTCTCATTTTTGAGAAACTGTTTAGAAAAAATGTTGTTTTGTTGAGCTGTTGCAAAACTT